AGACTAAACAACACGGCAACCTGGACCCGTTTATCAAAACGCATCAAGTATCACAGCCCTGACTTTCAACACGGTTATACTTTACAGGGTGGGCACCTGGCCTTGTCTCATTCTTAGGTGAGCTCTGTTGGCTAGACCCATATGCGACGTCCAGTGATGGGGCTGGTAAGATGGGAGTCGATTCTGCGTTTAACTTAGGAGAGTGATTCACCTTGATGCCAGGGTAATACCTGCTTGTCGGTCTCTCAGGGTGATTAGTGAGGGGCAGAAGCCAGATCACATCCTAGTAACCATGGTTTCTGAATGCACTTTAAGGCCACTAGAGAGTAATGCAGCTGGCTCTATGCTACTGATTTTCAGAGTTGTTCCTGACATCACAGGAAATCCTATGAGATTCCATCCTAATGGCTGGTCACCATATATCTGGGTGCGTCATTCCACATAACCTTTGTTGTACTTCTTCCAAATATTTGAAATTTATTACTCAAGACTGATGATGCCTCTAACACAGAATGTTTGGGAAACCAGTTAAGGCTGGGCAGGGACTGGATAATCTCTTTTGCTGGATAGGATGGGTAGTTGTTATTAAATACTTAGGCCCTAGAAGGGCTTTATAAATGATGATTGATTTAGGGCCTGTGTCATTTTGTAAATGGCTTGGCATCAGGGTTGTGCTTTCATGTTCCAAGAAAACAACTTAGTCTCTTACCTAATGAAAAGTGGATAGAATTTGGATTCCAAGATTCAAGTTTCAATATAAAGCAAGCTTTTCTGCTTTCTGCTTTATTTTGTTTAAGTGCCACTTTAGGATGGTCCTTCTTGTTTTAGAACTGGATGTAGAAATTAACAAAGATGAACTTTTCAGAGTCCCTTGTATATTTTGAAATCGTGCTGTATCTCTTTTAGGTCCTGCAAATCTTTTACTTAGCACCCAAAAAGGGGGAAAGAATTGTGTGTGTGTTTATGCATACACACAGAATCAGAAAAATAAATGCTTGTTCTTTCTCAGAATTATAGCATCGATTCCTATGTTCAAATATATTTGATTCACATTTAAGAAAAAAGGAAAAAGACATGACAAATGAGCATGACCAGTAAGACAAGTTTTGGAAACATACTCAGTGATACTGTTTTGCCCGTTGAAACATGCAAACCTGTCTGCTCTGGGTTATGTCCCATGTAAGCCCTTGAGGAGGGAGCCTGCCTGCCTTCTCCTGTGATTGACATGGCACCTCCTCCCCCTTCCCAGTTCCCCAATGATGAGAAGCTGCCTCTACTCGATCTCTATTTTTATTTGACCTGAAGCCAGTTGCACTGATTCCAAAAGAGAGAAAAGGGCCTGACATGGCTTCTATCCCTTCACGCTGGCCTGCTGAAATGATTGATAATTCCCAGGGACTACACTCAGAAGATTAAGTCCTTTTCATTTGGCTCTCTCATACTTATTCTTGGTTTGGGAACTAGACAGCACCCCATTATTTAGCCATGAAAGCAAGGATGTCACTAAAGGTGGCCTCATATTACTGCTTAAAGGCCTATTAGAAATCTCATTTTGCTTTTTGGAGATTCATTGTCATGCAAAGTGGTTCGAGGTTTCATTACTGGTGAAAGCCCTTTGTTGGGCTGGCCCAGCCTGTTGTCCCCAGATTTGCAGGTCTCCTTTCCTACTGCTATTCCAAAACAGGAATACTGTTACTTTGAGGATTTCATGACATCAGTAGAGAAAAACATACTTAAGGCAGGGAAATTGCAGCCGAACAGAAAGGCGCCATCAAATCTCCCCTCCGATACAAGTGACAAACTCCACTTTGTTCTGCTGTCCTGACATCGGATTTCCCTGTGGAGCATCAGACAAATGAATACCTGCCAAGTTATTACTGTAAGAATTAATGAAGAGGGCATCTTCTATGATTACGGCTTTTTTCTCCCTCCCCAGTTTTTTCTTCTAGGCAAATGACCTTGTTTTCTTCTATTAAACACGCACAGCTGCGAGACCCTGAATTCCACATCAGTGACCTTCTGAGCTGTCTTCTCTTCCCCTTTTAGGCCACTCCCTGTGCTTCCTGGGCCAAAAGATTCTCAGCAGGAAATGGTCTGTGACCTTGAATGAGTCACTTCACACCTCTGTGCCTCAGTTTCTTTGTTCTAAAAGAAGGATAACCACAGCTAATATTACTTTTATTTATTATCCTTGCTAAGATTGTGAGGATTTAATGAAATAATGTATGGAAAGTGCTTAGGACACTGTGCCAGGCAGAGAGCTCCTTCCACAAACATTTATCAACTACCCACTAGAAATGTCAGTTCTCCCTGGCTTTGACTTCTCTGGTTCTGGAATAATTCCTAAGTGCTGGGACTGCCAAGAGGCACAGACACGGGCCTGGTCTCTGCCCTCCTGGAGCCTGCAGTCCGGCTGAGGATTAGGGCATTAATTAGATAACCACACAGATTTCTATCTCTGAATTAGGCCAAGGACTAGGAAGGAAAATTACACAGAGCTCCACTGGGTCCTAACCTAAACAAAAAACACCTTTCCATAACACTGGAATGGAGATCAGAAGAAAGAGTTAAGAGTGAACCAGGAGGAGTGTCAGCCCTCTCACCCCCAACCTTAGATTTTGAGCAAGTTAGGAAAAGGTACTCCTACCCCAGGGCAGATGTGACCCCAGGCCATGAGCATGGCTTAGCAGGCAGAGCATGGGCTGGGTTTCAGTGCCCTCTGGCCCATCTGCTGGGTGTCCTTAAGCAGCAACCTGCACAGCCATACGGCTGCAGATAGGAGGATATTGGAGGCAGAGGAAAGGCAGGGTCTGCAAAGACCATGGGTGGAAGGGCACTTTTGAAGAGATGAAAAGGGCCACCATGGCTGGAGCACAAGGAGCCAGGCTGATAGGAAGGAAGTCCAGAAAGCTCTCAGTAAATATCAGCTAGTATTAATGCATGATAATATTAGTCTCATAAATCCATTGCCAACACACCAAGGTCTCCTTAGAAACCCCAAGGTCTCTCTAGAAGCCATTGATTTTTAACTAGTGAAGGAGAATTGCTTCAGGGATGTGATTTGTTGGTGTCACACAACTGAGACTTAAAGAATAAGGACAGTGGATGAGTAGAGACATTTGATGTGGAAAGCAGGGAGCCGATGTGTCTCCGGTGGCAAGCCTCCAGCAAAATATGAATGCTCCATTGCAGCCCAGAAAGCCAGATATTAGGTAAGAAGAAGTGAAAAACAAAAACAGAACCAAAAAAAAAAATAAAAAATAAAAAAAGCCACCACATCATGCAAGTGAAAATGGAAACAGGACGTTAGGGAAAGGTTTCTGTCATTTTGAGGGTGTAATTATCTCTCCAAAGAAGTAGAAGACTGTCCTTGACTTGGTCTCTTCAAAAGGACCTGCCCAGCCCAAGACCCAGAACCTGGCAACAACACTGTGCTCCCTAGAAATGGTCTTAATACTCTCAAGGTTCTTCCTGGCTTTGATTTCTTCGATTCTGGAATAATTCAAAGCACACATGTTCATTCAAACAAATATACTGTATGAAGGGTGGGTTGTTGTTGTTGTTTTTAAGTAAGAGTTTAGGGGGAAATAAAACCACACATCCTGGAGAATCACGCATTATTGCCTGATAATGCTTTGCATTCTGTGCCAAGCTGGGCATCTGCGTGTGTTTGCTCAGTTGAGGTCTGGTGTTAGCAGAGCATTGTGAGGGCAGCCTGGGCTTTGGGATCAGATGGGTCTGGGCTCAGATCCCTACTAGGCCACCTACAAGCTGTATGACCTTGGGTAGCTTAGTCAACCTCTCTACACAATGGGAGTTAGTATAAATTCAAATGATGGTTGTTATTAGGGAGAGCTCTGAGGCCAGGGCACTTAAGAACCCCTCACTTGCAAAGTCGTTTCCAGGGTTCTTGCCTTGAGATCAGCCTCTATGACCCACATACTTCCAGAAGTTCATTTGTTTGTACTATATCTAAAAAGACTTAACTTGACTTTTCAGCGGTAGCTGTGCTTTAGAGAAACATAAGGAACCAGAATTAAGTCATACTCATAAGATCTTGTCAGGAGTTAGTATCTCTATGAAACTTGTAGGGAAAAGAAAAGAAAAGAGCATTTAGCCGTGATTTTTAAATGTAGTATCTGTGATCAAAAATCCCATCATAATCTGCACAATCCAAAAAGAGCAAACAGTATCAACTGACCCAGCACTTGACATATTTTATTGCCTATTAAGATGTAGTAGCAGAACTTAACTTAAAAATATGCTGGGGGTGCCTGGGTGGCTCAGTTGGTTGAGCGTCCGACTTCAGCTCAGGTCATGATCTCACAGTCCGTGAGTTCGAGCCCCACGTCGGGCACTGTGCTGACAGCTCAGAGCCTGGAGCCTGCTTCAGATTCTGTCTCCCTCTCTCTCTGCCCCTCCTCCACTCATGCTTGCTCTCTCTCTCTCTCAAAAAGTAAATAAAAATTTTTAAAAATGTTTTAAATAAATGAAACATTCTTTTTAAAAAATATGCTTGAATTTAAGCCACATTAAATTGTAATGTGCACACAATTTATCAGAGATAAATGCCAATATTTTGTTTTCATTTCCCGTCCATAGGAAGTTGGAAAAAGAGCCCTTTATTAAGTGTCAGTCATAAGGCAGTATTTAAAAGTCGCCCTTGCTGTGTCTCTTGTTTTGTGTCTACACAGCCTTATGTATGTGGCACCTTTAGGAGTAACATGCAGCTTTAGCAACCTGAGCCTTTCAAAGCAGAGCAGGTTAATAGTGATTTAAGATTTTGCTGGTTAAAAGCAAAACAAAACAAAATCCATCTTCGATTTTAAAACAAAACACGCTAACCCAGCTTAAACTTTTCTATCAAAAATGGCATTGTTGCTTTCTAAGAATGGAAATGGATGAGGCACTTAATCAGAGAGGCCATTATGTTGTCAAAGGCCTTGCTGAGACTGAAGGATGGATTCTCAGGGGCATATGACCATTTTATTGCTTTTCAGCCCACGGCCGGCAATGCCACTCTCCCTCCTGCTGACAGAAGGAGAGGCAGCGCTGATCATTCAGTCCTTCTGGAGAGCCTATCTGGTAAGAGTCTTGTGCAATTATGGCGTTTGGCCTGGTGGGGAATTTTTGTGATGCAGAGTGCCCATGGGAAAACTGTTAGATGAATTTGAAACAGAGGGTATTATAGCTAACATCCAAACCTCAGAAATAGGATTCTCTGTAAAATACATCTCAAAGAGTGGTTTAGTATTTTTAACCAAAGCTTCTTTTGCAATTATCATGAAAAGTACTCTACAGCCTTTTAATGTTGGATCGACTAGCCTGTATTACCTAAAAAATAATATTATTTACATACAGAGAGCAATACATGTTCGTTTTAGAAAAAGAAAATTCAGATAATTCAGTTAGAGCAAAAAAAAAATATTTGAATTGCTGAAACTGTTACCCCAAAATAATCATTGTTGGCATTTTGCTGTAAAACTTTCCAAACCTTAAAAATCTTGATGGGTGAAACAGGTAAAGGGGACTAAGAGTACACTTATCTTGATGAGCACTGAGTCATGTATGGAACTGTCAAGTCACTATATTGTACACCTGAAACTGATATAACACTGTTATGATAACTAAACGGGACTTAAAAATTTAAAAAAAAATTTTTTTAACATGTATTCATTTTTGAGAGACAGTGAGAGACAGAGTATGAGCAGGGAAGGGGCAGAGAGAGAGGGAGACACAGAATCCGAAGCAGGCTCCAGGCTGCGAGCTGTCAGCACAGAACCCGATGTAGGGCTCGAACTCACGAACTGCGAAATCATGACCTGAGCCGAAGTCGGACACTCAACTGACTGAGCCACCCAGGCGCCCCTTAAAAGTTTTTAAAATGAATAAATGAGGGGCGCCTGGGTGGCGCAGTCGGTTAAGCATCCGACTTCAGCCAGGTCACGATCTCGCGGTCCGTGAGTTCGAGCCCCGCGTCGGGCTCTGGGCTGATGGCTCAGAGCCTGGAGCCTGTTTCCAATTCTGTGTCTCCCTCTCTCTCTGCCCCTCGCCCGTTCATGCTGTCTCTCTCTGTCCCAAAAATAAATAAACGTTGAAAAAAAAATGAATAAATGAAAAATATAAAATTTGAAAAATCTTAGAAGACAGAATAACATATAGACACTTATCATATGCTAGAAGTAACCTTTTCTTTTGAAACTTGTCTTTTGTAGCCATTTTCCTATTGGTTATTCCCAGTTTATCATTATTATAATAAATGCTGTAATACATATCTTTGCGCAGCCATCTTTGCACAATTGTCTGGTTGTTTATGTAGGACAGATTCTAGAAGTGGAATTTCTGGGTCAAAAGGTGAGTTCTTTTCTAAAGCTCCTGATCCATATTGTCATGTGGCCCTTCCAGAGGATGTACTTTGAAAAATTCTTACCAAGTATACATATGAGAGTGGCCTGTGTATCTTGTGCTAAAAAGCATACATTCTCCCCAATTTTCTGGCCATACATCAATGTTAAGAAGCTTCCAATAAACATGAAGCTCCTATTCTAGGTAAAAGCGTGTCTCTACCCAAGTCTGAGTGTTAAACATCAATGGAACTAGTTTAGATTTGATTTCAGAGGTGGTGAACATTGCCACAGAGAAAGGTTTCAGTGGACTTACACGGAGGCCAAACATCTCCATCCTGACGCTCTCCTCAGAGCTGCTGTAGGAGAAGTAGCCTGAGGTGAACATGCCGGCAAACGGTTGTCCAGGAAGAAATTAGATGAATTCTAATGAGATACCATTAATAAATCAATAACCAAAATATTTTTTAAATGTTAAATGGGACTGGGGCGCCTGGGTGGCTCAGTCGGTTAAGCATCCGACTTCGGCTCAGGTCATGATCTCACGGTCCGTGAGTTCGAGCCCTGCGTCAGGCTCTGTGCTGACCGCTCAGAGCCTGGAGCTTGTTTCAGATTCTGTGTCTCCCTCTCTCTCTGACCCTCCCCCATTCATGCTCTGTCTCTCTCTGTCCCAAAAATAAATAAACGTTCAAAAAAAAAAATTTAAAAAAAAAAGAAAAAAAGAAAAAAAAAGAATTTAAATGTTAAATGGGACTGTCCTTTCTTATAAGCAGCTTACTGTTTCAGGCAATATTGTCCAGTGAACACAGGGCTCAAAGTCAAGTGTGAAGGTTAAATAATAGACTTGCACATTATAAGGAGCAGTTTGTTCCCAAAGAGTTAAAAGCCAGTAATAAAACCCTCTGTGATATGTCACGATTTAGATATAATTTTTAACTACATAGGTTTTCAGCATTTCCTACATATTTTATAGATATGGTCTTTGTCCTTCTGTAATTGAACATCAGCAGGTTAGTTTAAGTCCAGTGATGTCCAACCAAGGTGAAAGATTCCTGGCTTCCACATGCTTTTTGAGTTCCACCTTTGCCGTCAGCATATTTCATTTGTGAGACTTGAACTTGTTACACTAGCATTAGCAGTTTTACTTTTCCATTTTCTGATCCTTTTAATGAGACAGAGCCAAATGCAATAAAATAGTGATTTGCAGATTTTGTTTCTTTAAAACAGCAAAGCCCTTTCTTCAAATCATACTCAGAAGCCTAAATTGTAATCACTGTGTTAACAGTAAAAGGGGATGTTCTGTCCCTGATTCTCCCATGCAGTAATAAAACTTTCACACACAGGGGGCCTGTGTTATGGACACAGCATGAGAAACATAGAGATCTTCCTCTACTTATCATGGAGTTACATCCTGATAAACCTAGTGTAAGTTGAAAATGCATTTAATATACTTAACCCACTGGACATCATAGCTTAGCTTCGCCTAACCTATAAATGTGCTCAGAACACTTACATTAGCCAACAGTTGGGCAAAATCATCCCCCACAAAACCTATTTTATAATAAATTGTTGAATATATCACGTAACTTATTGAATACTGTACCGAAAATGAAAAACAGAATAGTTGTTTGGGTGCAGAATTATCCTCAGTGTATTGGTTATTGACCCTGGTGATCACATGACTGACTGGGAGCTGTGGTTTGCCGCCTCATGAGAATATTGTATAGCATATCACTCACCCGGGAAATGATCAAAATTCAAAATTCTAAGTACAGTTTCTACTGAAGGCATATGGCTTTCATGCCATCATAAAGTGTAATCGTAAGTTGGGGACTGTCTGTAGTCCTTAAGACAGCTGAATTCAGCTTATCACACCAACAAACACTGCCATATAAAAAGATGTCAAAGTGGCCCAAAATTTAACCGTGGCTATAGTACCATCATCACACTAGTGATATAGTACCTCACAGTACAAAAGATGTTTACAGGTCAGTGTATACTGTGTGAGAGTTCAGGTTGTTCAAACCCAAACATCTCCTGTGCTAAAAATATATTACTAAAGGTCACCAAGTGAGGGGGGAAGATCCTAAGTTGTTGCCAGAAGGAAAAGAGGTCTGATATATGGGATGACCTTGGAAGCTTCCACAAAAAAGGAAGGACTTGGTCTTAGCCTTAAAAGAAAGATGGAACACTGGATTGTCTGCTGGGACCAAGATGATATCCCAAGGGGAGGAAATTGTGTGTGTGTGTGTGTGTGTGTGTGTGTGTGTGTGTGTGTGTGAAATACCAATTTTATTAAAACATACTGTATATTTTTATGGGGTGCTTGCATGGCTCAGTCATTTAAGCATCCACCTTCAGCTCAGGTCATGATCTTGTGGCTTGTGAGTTCAAGCCCTGTGTAGGGCTCTGGGCTGACAGCTCAGAGCCTGAAGCCTGCTTCAGATTCTGTGTCCCCCTCTCTCTCACTGCTCTTCCCCTGTTCTCTCAAAACTGAATAATCAGGGGCGCCTGGGTGGCGCAGTTGGTTAAGCGTCCGACTTCAGCCAGGTCACGATCTTGCGGTCCGTGAGTTCGAGCCCCGTGTCAGGCCCTGGGCTGATGGCTCAGAGCCTGAAGCCTGTTTCCGATTCTGTGTCTTCCTCTCTCTCTGCCCCTTCCCCATTCATGCTCTGTCTGTCTCTGTCCCAAAAATAAATAAACGTTGAAAAAAAAAAAAACAAAAAAACTGAATAATCATTAAAAAAATTTTTTTAATGTACTGTATATTTTTGACAACTACACACACACACACACACACACACACACACACACACACACACACAAAGGATAGGAAAATATCTAAAGGGAAACAGAGCAATCTGACAACAGTGGATAACTTGGAGTAGCTGGGAAAAATTTGAGAGACCGTAGCCTTATATACACTGAACAGTTTTTACAAACAGGCTATAGTATAATTTTCATTAATTTCAAATTTATTTAAACCATGTTTTCATGTCAATGGATGCAGAACACAAAATCCAATGATTTTGTTATTTATAATTAATAAATTAACCATTAATTTATAATTAGTAAACATGATTATATTACATTATGATAAAAACACTCAATAACTTCATAAAGGGTGGTCATAAAACTCCACAGCTAATATATTTAGGGAGAAAGGACTGGGTGTTTTCCCCCTAAAATTGGGAACAAGACAAAGATATTCTCTCTACTTTAGTTCAACATAGCACTAGAGGTTTTAGCTAAGGAAATTAGGCAAGAAAAGAAATAAAAGGCATCGGATTGGAAAGGAGGAAGTAAAACTATCTCTATTCTCTGTACAGACATGATCTTCCATACAGAAATTCCTAACTAATTCACACACACACACACACACACACACACACAAAAGAACTAATAAACAAGTCCAGCAAGGTTGCAGGATACCAAATCAATATACAAAAATCAAGTGTATTTGTACATACTTAGCAATGAACAATCTGAAAATGAAATTAACAGAACAATCCCATTTGTAATAGCATCAAAAAGAATAAAATACTTAGGAATAAATTTAACAAAAGCACTGCAAGACTTACGCTGGAAACTGCAAAGAAATTTTAAAAGACCCAAACAAAAGAAAAGACAGCCTCCATTGATTGGAGGACCTGATGTTGTAAAGATGGCTGGCGGTACAATTTGATCTGCAGGTTCAATGCAATCTCTATCAAAATCCCAACTGCCTTTTTTTTTTTTTTA